TTTGAAATCTTTCAAAGGCTTCCGTGTAATCCGTAAACTCCTCGAAAGAAGCTTTGGGATTTTTCTTCTTCATAGCGTGGTACTTCTTAATGCGCCAAGCTGACAACCCATGGAACTGCTCGTTTTGATTCATGGGTAGTTGAGAAGAAAAATGGCCGTTTTTGACAAGCCGCTCGTACACCCGTGTCTTCTTTCTTTCCTGTAATTCTCTTTCCTGCTCTCGCTCAGTTTTCCGCGTCTTCACTGATGCTGCATGACGTCTTGATTCATCGTCCTCATCTGATGATTCGGTACGATCTTCTGGTTCCAGTTTGCTAACAACGAAAAAAATCGTTGAATCGGTCCCTGTGGATGTCATTTCATTCAGGACCTCTCTATCCTGGCAAGGAGACAAATAACAATTGGTATTAATTGATGATAAGACTGTGTAGAGAAAAATCACCATCAACTATTAGATCTTTTTCACGCATAGAAATAGAGGGCGAATAATCTAATCGTTTTATTATAAATCTGCTAATTATTCAAAACTTTATAACAAAACAAGCTCAAATAGTTAATTTACCTTGTTTACAATCCCACAATGTTACTAGTAAGCCACTCTCTTTACTCATTATATAAGGCGAAGAGCTTAGCCAATCAGATTGCAGCAATTGGATTTAGCAACCCAAGGCAATCACTGTCGACCGCACCTGCGGACGACAGTGATTGCCTTGGGTTGCCAATTCCGAATGCCGAATTTATTTCGTAATAAATGCAACAGCAAGCAAACCAGAGTAAAAGCTATGCTGATGTTGTGGTGTATACGTTCTTATCGTTGCACGGCGTTTTCGTGTAAATTTAAACCACGACTGTTTAATTTCGAAAAGAGCAAACTTTTGCCTTGATAAGCTTCGTATTTACAAACTACTCTAATCGAATTACTGACTCATGACTCAATATTTAAAGGACACAGTCCAAGTGACTCACAGAACATGGCACTTGGTATAGTTTCGATCTTAATACAACCCGGAAATACTAATTGTAACCAATCGAGGAATCGATCGTGTTAACAACAA